TTGAAAAATAAATTCAAGAATATTTGTTATTAAACTTTTCTTAAACAATGTATTGAATAGTTAACATCACTCTAGTCTTAATTTATTACAATTTAAATTTTTAATAAATTTGATTTATTACAATTCATTTTGTTAATATTGAGACCAAAGTTTATTTTTAAATTATATTTTAAAAATTAAATTATTTTTAAAAAATAAATTACTTTTAAAAAATAAATTGTAAAAAATATACTAAAACAATTAAAGTATATTTATAAAAAAATAAATTTTAATATAATAAAAAAATAATATTCATTAGCGACCGATTTCAATTCGGTCACTATTTTCTCATTAGCGACCGATTTTAATTCGGTCACTATTTCAATTTGTAATTCGGTCGCTAAATCGATCGCTAAATGATTTTTTTATTTTAGTATGAAATAGTCATCGATTTAGCGACCGAAATTTTGCAACGCAAAATATTGGTCGCTATATAAAAAAATGCAAAATAAATCATATTTTGGTCGCTAAATCGGTCGCTAATTGCGACCGAATTAAAGTGGTCGCTGAATCGGTCGCTAATTGCGACCGAATTAAAGTGGTCACTAAATCGGTCGCTAATTGCAACCAAAATTAAATCGGTCGCTAATTGCGACCGAAAAAATTCGGTCGCTAATTTCGGTGGCTAAATGTGTTTTTTCTTGTAGTGAGTCACCATAATACATTCAAATCCACTCAAAATAAAATGAATAACTTCCCTTACCTTATATTAAGATCTTTCAAGTAGGAAATATTCCCAAAGTTTCCAAATTTTCTCAAACTTCACAGAATCTCAAATTTGTACTCCCACATATCCAACTTCATAAAACAAGGATACTAAGTCAGCAAAAACTCAAACTTGCCCAAAAATCTATACATGCAAACAAATTATAAGGTACATGTCACACTCAAACTCAACATGCAACCCATCTGTAGAAATGAAGATTTTATTTGGATGAAAATCTTCCTTTCCTTGCTAAGAGTACTATGGTGTATTTATATTTGGTAAAATTTGAAGTTTAGAGAGACAGTGAATTTTAGAAATGAAATTTGAAATGTAAGAATTTTTTATTTAAACCATTTTCAAATGAGTGATAAAAATTTACTCTATTTAACCATTAGTGTTTTTAAACTACAAAAATCTCGATCCTTATGTAATATAAACAAATAATTTATTGATTTTTTATAATTAAAAACTAACAATAGAAATAAAATAATAAATAAACATTAATGTGTTAAATATATTTTTTAAAAAAATTCTCAAGACTTCTCATTCTTTTTTTTTCTAAATAATTATTTAAAAAAATAAAGTTGGTAACCACTATCTTTGCTTGATTTATTGTTTAAGATTTTTTTTTTACTTTATAATTATGTTAATTCTTTCTTCATCAACATAATTCACTTCACATTTTTCCCTTTTCTTAGTTGAAAAGATGATTATGGTAGGATTCATTTTTCTTCTTTAAGTACAAAGGAAACAAAACTTTGCTTTTAGGTTTGATAACCCTCTTATTTCATTGTTTCATCTTATATACTCTTTGTTTTTGTTTTTTTTTGAGAATTTAGAGCTTTCACTTTAAGGATTTTGAGAGTTCTCCTCTTCTCTCATTGGAATGCAATACATAGATCACATTTAGCAATAAAGTTTTGTATCATAATTATTTTAATATAACATAAATTTGTCTCAACAAAGAGATCTTGAAAATGTAGAATAATAGTTAATTTTTGTTATTAAGAGGAGGTAGACTTCTTTAGTTAAGTTCTTTACATAAGTTGTTATATCCAATGATAATCAGTAGGGATGACAATTAAATTCGTATTTGTGAGGATCAATCCATTATCACCTCAAGTTCAACAAAAAAAATTGAGTTGATCGAGTGTGGATATAGGTTCAAATTTTTCCCCCTTTAAAAAGTTGAGGACTGGGGAGGGATGGATAATATAATCTTCACCTCAGTCTTACCTTAACTTTATATTTAAACTTAAATTCTAAAATATTAATCTTTTAAAATTATTTCTTTTTTTTTACACAATATATAAGGTCATTTCTTCTATATTTTATAATATTTACTTTTTTCCTATCCATTTTTACTTTTTTATTTTTTTTAATCTCTTCAACCAATGAGTTCATTATATTATTATCTCTCTCACTTTCTTCACCTTTTCTTCAATTAATTTAGTTTTTTTCAATCTCTTCAACCAATTTAACAAACACAATTAATTTTTTTCTTTTTTATCCTTATCTAAATTTTCTATATCAATATTAATAGTACCCAGTATTATTTTATTTCTACTTTATCATTATTAGTTTTTTTTAGTTCATACTTTCTAGATTTTATTATTACATATCAAATTTTATCTTAATAAAATAATTATATTTTAAATTATTAAAAAGAATTAATAGTTAAAACTTTTATTAGTTTAACTAATTAAAAAATAATTAATTTATTAAATATTTTCTCATTAATTATATATTTCATATTTATTAATATTTTAAAATCACAACTTAAAAAATATTTAACTTATATATATAATCAAATATTTAAATACAATATTCTAATATACAATAATAATAATAATAATAATAATAATAATAATAATAATAATAATAATAATATTATGAATATTATATATCCGTATAAAAAATGATTAAATATTTATTTTGTATATATATTTTAATATAAATATAATAAATTAAAGTACATACTAAATTAATAATAATAATTATAAAATTATAAAATTACAAATATTCATTTATGTATAAAAATAATACATAAAATATATTAAATTAATTTATTATAAATTTATTTTTTAAAATAATATATAACAGTGTCAATGACCTGAAACCAAAGGAGTATGGATGGCAAAACGGTCGGTCCGCCCGTTTTGGTCCGCCTCACCTTTGGCCCGCCAAAAGCGGGCAAGGCGGTTGACTCGTTATAGTCATGACTGGTCAGTAAACCTTGGTTCACCTCGCCAAGGGGCGGCTGGCTCGTCATAATTTAGAAAAAAATAATTTATTTTTTAAAATAATTTTTTTTAATAATTTAATAATAAGATTATTATTTGTTTATCAATAATTCAATATATATATATATATATATATATATTATTTCAATTTAATAATATAAATCAATACATTATTTTAAGAAATTATAATTTAGAACAATAATAAAATTTACATAATAATAAATAATAACAAATATATATATATAACATTAAAACTTATAAAATTTATATTTTTTATATTGAAAAATTCAAATACCTATATCTTTTTTATTTGATAAAACTTCACATTATTCTTGGTTGAGTAATTCTTATACCTTTAATTCAAGTCATAACGATAAAAATAATCAGTGCTTAATGAACAAGGAGAACAGGAGAGAGAAAGTTGTGTTTCAAGTAAGGAAAATATTTACTGTGAGAGTGAAACTTTTTTAATTCTCTTTTTAAAAATTTTAACTTTATATATTATCTTTATAATTAATTTTATTACAATAAATAATTATTTTTTTATTAATTAGGCGAGCCACAGGTTGGCCCGTCCCGTCCCACGGGTTGGCCCGACGGGTTAGCGGGGCGGGCTGGTGGGCTGAAAATACCAACCCTCCCCGCAATATTATGGCGAGCAGCGAGGGGCGGATTCGACCCATTTTGTCATTCATGTAGACTATATTAAAAATTTAATTTTTAACCCAACAAGAATCAAGAGGAGAATAAAGATCATTAAGAAAGTCTGGGACAAGTTAAAAGAGGCAAAAAAAAAACAGTGTTCTCCACCTTGTAGTCATGCCGAGTTAGTTTTTAATCATGATAAAATGACAAAAAAAAAACAAAATATTCCAACTTAAAATATGTTCTAAATTTTAATAATACTAATATCGATGGAAAATTTGTGTGTTACACATCTTATTTTTTGAAACTTATAAGTTGCTATATATATATATATATATATATATATATATATATATATATATATATATATTTATTTATTTATTTTTTATTTTTATTTTTTTAAATCCATTTGTAACTTAAGATACATTTATTTCTATCAGTTAAAAACAAAAGAGGTTAGACATCTGCATTATCATCTTTAAAATTGTCTAAATAATCTTTTTAAGAACCACTCATTATTATAGAGACACAGTGGAGACACATGTAATATTATTCAAACTTATATATCTTATTAATATACATGTATTTAACTATGGTTAAAAACAAGCGACTTTGATTACTTGCAACATATTTAATTTATATATGTATAAATTAACGATGATACAAGATTTAACTTCAAATGTTCTAAACAAGATAATATTATAATTTAACAAAGTTGAATCTATATATTTAAAATTATTAATGTGATTTCTTAAAAAAAATCATTCTTAGAACGAACGAAAAGTGACAATTTAATTTAATGCAGAAAGAAAATACACCAGAAAATTGCAGTGCGTTTCCTTTACTAACCTACATGACGTGCATGTTGTCATATTTCATATGCCTGACAGCACAAAAACAAAGTTTCAAAACGAATATAAATTATTAAAAAAATAAGGAATGTTCATTTTCCAACGCAAAGTTAGCAAGAGTAGATTACATGCTCGTACACGATATAAGCTTTGCGATATAAGCAATTCTAGAACAAATCCTAAGTACTAACATCCAAAAAAAATGGCTAAATTTAGCAACAGAAAAAACTAAAGTAAAACTTCATTTTTAAAATCGATACTACTAGCGTACAAAATAGGTTACGTATAAAATTTCAAAAACAGCAAGTGTCAATGAATGAATGCTTGTCCATCTTCCAAAAACTGGATTGAAAAACAATCCCTATTCTCTAAAGACTAGGAACCTAGCATCTATGAAGTGTGAATTCCCTGACTCTCCCCCCAAAATGTATCCACCACCTCAAATGTATAAAAATCCTAGTCCCTCGAAATTTTCAAATTTCATAAGTTTGAAGAACTTCACACCTTCTCATTCACTTACTCTTCTTTCCACTTGTTTACATATCTGAGGAAAGCTTTGGCAGGATTTTCCCTAGGTGGAGCGCGAACACGAGTAGACCTTCGGACCACAGAGTCATCCAGGCTAATCTTATGCATCAAATCCTTTGAATTTTTCTCCAGTTCTGAGCTATAAATATAGAACGAAAAAGGAAGGAATCTCACAAGTCATGGAACAAATGTTGATAAAATATAAAAATCCCATTTACTCCGCATTTCTCAGTTTTTAAATCAAGTGTATCTATCCCACATATTCCCCATTTTCTCAGGTTTCAAATCAAGCATATCTACCACCGGTTCACTTTATATTATATATTCAAAGAAAGAATATAAGTTTGACAATTTGAATGTGACAGCAATTCTGTTATTTGTTTTACCATAACAATTAATTTAACTGTGTTCATGTTAAAATCTGCTACAGTCAGTCAATAATTCCATCATAATAGCACAACTTGAAGATCTTTTCACATAATAGAACTTTAAGAAACTTATATTCAACAGTAGACATACAATAGCGATTTTCTGACTTATTCCTTATGTTTCTTTTATTCACAAGCAGCAACTATTAAGAAAATGTTAATATTGGACTAGGACCACACAATCCACAATTAAGGTTTATACTGAAGAATGCATCATGAAATTGGTTAAGCACTGTGCGCAATGAAATCAAGGAGGGGGAAAACCTAAATGTGCATTTCAATGAAATCAACTGAAGCAAATCTAACTCACCATATTCTACTATAATATTTTTTCAGTTGTTTTAGCAGTGTCCTTTCCCTCTCGCCTTTGCAATTCAGTGAACTCATCAATCCATCAAGCTATTCAAATTCAAGCATGTCAACTAAAAATTAGAAATGATTTAATTGTAGAAAATACATATATAGCATCTGCATCAAGTACCTCTCCCTTGCTACTGTAGTATCCCCACTCCTTGGATTCAGGACTTTCGACAAATATCCTTCCATCGCGGTAAAACCACCAATACCTATTATAATATCTGTCCATACCTAGGAAACTTGTACGAATACACCATTTCTCTATCTCCCGATCAAAATATTCTCTCTGTAATAAATAACTTCAACAGAATATAAGTTTCAACGTAAGTAAGATAAAACTGTTAAATAAGGGAAACAGTTTGCACCCTTTGTTCGTTGTTTTTCTCTGGTTGATCCTTATCACCCTTCGGTTGTTTCTGTGATTCCTTTCTGGATACTTTTCCAATTTCTGCTAATTGATTCAGCTCTGAATCAAACATTTCAGCTGACATTTTTGAAGCAAGGTTTGAAGACTTGATACCACTGTTAATATATTTTAAAAAAACGTTAAATACAACAATAATTCAGAGACAAAGAAAATGTGTTTTGTAGATATTCATAAAGACATGAAGATACAGCACACAAATCCAACCTATCCAATACATCTTTTTGCCAAGATGATTCTATCTCTCTGATTCTATTTTTTCCAATAGTACCATTCTGTATACTGTGATTATTATTCATTGAAACGGTTGCACTCTGATCAAGATGATGCCCATTCTGACCAGATTCGCTTCCAGAATCAGCTTTCAAGTGCTCGTTTACTTTTCTTTTCTTCGCAGCAGCTTGAATTGCTTCTTCCCTTTTAGCAGCCCCCAGTACCCGCCTTTGTTCAATAAAGTCATCCAATTTTTCCCTGACAGTAGCAGTATCAAGGGCTCGATTGACTAACTCACGAAAGATTTCTATTTTAGCATTGACATCTATGTAGCCATAATGTCCCCGTTTAATTGTTGCTTCGTACTGCAGCAGCTTGGGAATTTTGATCATTTCTAAAAACTCACATAAATAGTCTTTCCAACTAATCATTGTAATCTGAAAATAAAATTTCATGATTTACATATGAAAAACAGTAACGGGACAAGTCAAGGATGATAAATGAATTCAAAAATTAAAAAATAATTGAGACCAACTGTCCTCATCCATCAACACACTAGCGAAAAGAATATACTTGAGGGGACACCAACCTTCTTCCGTAATTTTTCTTGAACAGCTGCAGAGTATTCATAATTGCCTTTGATGAGCACACGAAAGAGTACTGCATGAGATTCCACTAGGAGAACTACATTGCTATCCTTGTGGCTGATTGCATTTTCAAAATCTTTGAGCGAGTAAGGCGACAATCGTAGCAGTTTACCAAAAGACATACAAAAATCCCAAACCATTAAGAGATCCCCTACACAATAAATTGGAACATTAAAGTCTCTTGATGGAGAAGGACGACTACTGAAAACAGGATCATCTGGACTAGGCTTCACTAATAGATCATCAATTGGATATTTGATTGACTCTTCCTGAACATGATAGATTTGAAAAAACAAAATCAAAAAATTATTTAACAAACCAATCAGAAGTCTGTAAGCTATAAATCTATAAATTTGGACATTTGAGTGTTACTCTGTGTACCTACCTCATTTTTTCTTTTTTTAGTGAAGACCACAAGTCCATTGTTAATGGAAACCTTTCCCCTTAACTCCTCTGGAATGTCAGTTGAGATTCCATGTTTTTTTGCAAGTTTATCGTGTAAAACCCAAGGAGCATTTTGATATGTACATTCACGGATAAAATACTTCAAAAGATTTCTACTAAAAGGTGGCTTCTTCTGTACCAAATCTCGAGAACTGACTTCTGCTCTTTCAATAACATTATTGCTTTCATCAAGCCAAGCGACCAGATAGCTGACATTTTCAGCATCTTCCTGCATCGCCTTTAATATTTTGCAAGGAAGCAGTCTGTCATTCTTTTTTCCATACAATTGAGAGCCCACAAACAACTTCTGCAACTTTTCAGCAATAGAATCAGCAAGATCCTTCAAAGGGAGCATGCCTGCAACAACAAAAGACCACTTAAAAGTACAGAATGATAAATAGTGCACACATTTAGATCGGTAAAAACATAGTCCAACTTGAAACAACACCTGATATGTGTCCCAAAAACATTTTTCACAGCAATACTTAAACAAGCAAAACTTTTAAAGTTCAAAATTCTAGGAACCCTTCTAATATTATCATTCATAATAATACATAAGATGAATTTAGCAAACTCCTCCATTTGATGCATAGCATTGTATGATCAACAGTCAGAACCACGCACAAATTGATGGTTCACTTAAGCAATCTGAAGGGAAAATTCATCAAAACCATAGTTCTGAATTGCCTCCAAGTCACAAGATGTTAGTCATCTATAACTATTAGCTACCATTTCAAGGACTCTCGAGTCTTTGTGTCCAGAACGTAGGAATGAGGCAAGCTCTCCTACAGTAAACTTCTGTCTGCAAAAACAAATTGAAGGGGATCCTACTGGATATATACAATCAACCTAAAATCATATTTTGCATTGCTTGTTTTAGCCAGCAATAAACTAATCTATTATAACATCTTATTAGCCAAAGCTTACTCATTTTTAACCTGATCAATATAGGAGATAGACATGAGGCTTTGGATAATTTATAGAATAAACAGCAAAGAAGCAATACTTGCATTAAACTGCTAGGTTGTTAATTGGGTAGAGTGCTTCCTAATTAAATATGGAACAATTAATTGTGGATTGTTGCATGATATACATTTTGTTCAACCATTCAATTAAGCAACATTCAAGCTTAAAGTCGCCGCCCCTGCTGCAGGATTCAATATGCACATTCCATTGCATGTGCTTCTGCACACCATATTCTACACAAGCATCTTACTTTCTTCCAATGACATTTATAATACCGTATATTATAAGCTTTTAACAATAACTCGCTCTTACAAACAAAGCAAATTAAAAGAGGTTTTCTGAAACCATATATGTTATTTTGAATAAATTCAGAAAACATTTGAAATTTCAAATTAACCACGCAGAAAAAATGGGTACAATCAATAAATAATAAGCCACAAAGAAAACAAAGAAAAAAACATACATCTGATTTTCCATCAACATAAACTTTTTTTTAGACCAAAATAGAACTTACTGTACTGAATAATCCTAAGTGCAGGTGCGACTAATTCTTCCGGAATCTGTTGAACTTTCCCAGTAGCATGCTTCTCTGACACCAGCGCCTCTTCATAAGTTAAGCCAGTTTTTCCAGTTACTTTGCATGTCCAAACCCTCTGACGGTATTGATTTAATCGTTTCAAATAATCACTTGATCGTGTCAAGGAATACCAACCATTAAACAAATAGTCAAATATGCAGAAGGTACCAAAATTCATTACACTACTCAACCTCTTCCAACTCAAATTCATTTCCTGTTTTTGGTTTATTCCAAGGAATGAAATAACACAGGTAATTTTTTATAAATATAAATGACCGAAAAAAGATACTTATAATCTCGGAATATTTCTTTGGTAAACCGAATTTGAAAGAGACTCTCTCCTGGCACCAGATCATTAGGTGGCTCAGTCAAGGCAAAATGCTTTCTCCTCAAAAGCGGCATTGACATATAAAGCCTCAGTTCCTGTCAATCAGAGAAACCCTGTATTGAAAATTCAACTCAACAGAACAAAACTCTTTCAGCCAACTCCACAATACAGAGACCACTAGACATATTACTTAGGTTGAGATTGCATGTTCTTTAAAAAAAAAAATGCATGAAAAAATTTCATCTTTTAGTCTTCTTCTCATTAAAATAAAATGATTGAATAATAATAATAATAATAATAATAATAATAATAATAATGTTTTTACTCTTAATTAATATTTAATGTGAATAAAGTGACAATGCATTGAAAATCGAAACGGACAGCATCACAGGGTCTCAATGGTGGCATTGGGAGAGGAAAAAGGGAAACCCTAGAATGTGGGGTTTGGGTAAACAGATTAACTTTGGGTAATGTAACACGCAAACACAAAACAGCTATGGGAGTGTAAAAAAAAATATACATATTTTGGAGGAAGTGAGGCGTGACATTACGGTTAACAACAAAGGGTAAAAGGAAACAGCAAAAATGGAGAAAAAATCGCGACGAAGTCAATTTTCGCAATGACCAAAGAGCAACAGAGATTGCGTTAGAGAGAAATTAGGAAGAAGTGTAAAAGAGTTACAGAGAGAGAATTGGGAAGTGGAATGAGATTAAGAAAAGAAGGATCTTACAAAGAAGAATGGAAGCAAAGAATAGAAAGAGTATGGAGAAGAGGGGTCTTCACTCACTCTTCTTCAGTCTTCAGTTTTAGAATAGTAGGAGTTTGTGAGCAAGCCTCTGATACGGCGTTGTTCTCTGTTGTTCCTTCTTCTTCTCCCTTGCACAAAATGGAGAATGTTAATAATATATATTATTTTAAGTATAAATATATTTTTTTATTAACTATACTAATTTAATAAAAATTACAAATCATTCGTTATTTAATAAGTTTTACCTATTTAAAAAAAATCTACAATGAAAAATATTATAAAAATTATTACTAAAATATTAAGAATAAATTATAATATAAAATAAATTTAATTTAAAAGTTTAAAAACAATTATATAATATAAAAATAAAATATAAAATAATTGTGAACATAAAAAATATTTATGTATCTATTATAAAAATATTATAAATAAAATTAATTTTAAAAAACAATTATGTTTGATGAAGGATAAAAAAATATACACAGTAATTAAAAAATGATTATGAATATAATTATAAACTACTCATATAAATAATAAAATAATTTAAATATATTAATATTATTAGATTTTATAAGTAAATGAGATTATATATATATAACATATTTCATGATTTTAAATTAAATAATTAAAAAGATAAATTAACTAAAAATTTAATTTTTATAAAATTTACATTTTAGTTGTTCATTAACTTTAATAATTTTTATTATTATTTATATGATTTAAATATTTATAATTTTTAAAGTAAATTGGATAACAATTTTTATATAATATTTGAAACAAGATGAGTTTGATATTTTGTTTATGTATGTCTTAAGATCTTATTTTATAACATAATTATAATATATTGAGCTAATTAATTATTTCTATATTTTTATATATTATTTATTATATTTTTTATAATATATAAGGTGTTTATTATTAATTTAATATTCTAAATTTTATATGATATAATGATCATGTCAAATCTTTTATTATATGAAAATTACAAACAAAATAAACACATATGACTCATAAGATTGTTCTGATACATTCACAAAAGTAAATTGGAGAAATATTTCATTATTATTTTATGTTTTGTTCCTAGAGGTAGACATATTAAATTCCTAAAAATAAATATGAAAAATATTTTATTGTTATATTCCATTTTCAAAAGTGATTATGAAATATTTTATTCATGTTTTGGTGGTTTTTGTTATAGTTGTGGAATTGAATGTAATCTTAAATGTGATTCTAAATGTGTTAATTATCAAATAATATAAATTATTACCAAAAAAATTTTGAGAAAACATTACCAAAAGTGAAATAAAATGATAAAAAATGAAAAAAAAGTAACAAATAAGATGAATGATCATTGTGTTGATAAAGACCATTTGTATCTTATTATTTTACACTAAAAAATCTTTTTTAATATTCATAAGGGAAAAACTTGAAAATAAAAGAGAAAAATATTTTTGCTTATAAGATGATGATCATAAAAATGATGATTCTTGTTATTATGATCATATGAATTTTACTTATGAGTGATTCTAATTATCATATCAATTTTGTTTAGGAGTATGATGATTCTAATTATGGTCAAAGATATTCATATTAATATTTATGATATATTATATTTTATCAATATCTTATATTTTTAATGTTTTAATATTATCAAAATGTTTGTTTAAGATTATTTGAATATTTTAAATCTCTTTGTAATCAAATTAAATTAAGATAATCAAATACATTAAAACGTATTAATCATTTTTCAATTATTTTTATTTTCTATTTTACTTTAATTACATAAGATTTATTATTAGGAATATAGTTTTATATTCAAAGTCATTTTTTAGCATGATTTACTTCACATATATGATTATATACAATAGGTGTGTTATATATCAGGAAGACTTCTTTTTTCTAAAATATGTCATTATAATATATATATATATATATATATATATATATATATATATATTTATAAAAAGATAATTATATTTTAAATATATATTTTCTTCGTAATATTTCATTTTTATTGTTTTAGAATGACTATTGAGAAAAAGTGACGTAGTAATATTACAACAATGATTCTCAAAAGTTTTTGATAACATAGTATCACAGTTGTGACTATCAAATAAAACAAATTTTGAAATATATATTGCTATCAAATGGTGCAAATTTTGAACTCAAAATATATTTTATTCTCCCAAATCTAATAAAATTTATCAAAATTTAAAAATATTCATTGAAATTGATACGGTTATATAGTAAAAATAAGTTAAGATTATAATTATTGTCAAATATTTTGATTAACTTAAATTAGTGCACTAAAATTTGTTTAATTGATTATATCTCACTTGTATATATTTATCTTATATTTAATAAAAATATATTTACTGATAAATTCATACATATCGATATAATTAATGAAACAAATATACTTAAATTATTAGATTTTTATGGTTTGTACTATACATATAATGATATAATTAAATACATGTCATGATTTAGTATGTATTAGATGTTTATAAAAAAAAAAGTTAATAATAATATCATCATTAAAATATTAAAAAAGAACGAATAAGTCCATTATATTTTTGGAATTGATATAAAGTGATATTTGTGAATAAATATAAACTATTTATATATTTATTATTTTAATTGATACATCAAATAGACGAGTGATGCATCTGTTTTATCTATTTACAATCAGAAGTTTGTGAAGTTGTTAACTCAATTAATTTTGATAAGATCTTATTTTTCTAATTAAGAAAATTTTATTTTATGATGCTGAAATTACATCTTATATTTTTAATGAATATTATGTGTGATTTGAAATTGATGTTGAACATCTTGTAGTTTATGCTAGTACACAAAATAAATTTGCAAAATCATGTACAATTGATTGCAAAATAATTATTCATCAGATTCAATCTTTCCATCACTACTTGGGGTCATGTAACTATATATATTATAGTACAAATTTACATCAAATCAATATGTCAAATACTCTCTTTCTATAATTGATTTTGGAACATCAATAAAATATTTCTTATTTTTTTGAGGGTTTTTTTGAGTGTGTCCTAACCACACCCCAAAGTGAATTTTAATGGTTCATCATAGAAGATTGAGAATATATGTTAGACATTAATAATAAAGTATTTTGAATGTCCATAGGTTATTTTATGACTCAATTTGTCAATTATGAGTTTAATGAATAAAATTTTCAATATTAAGGGGGAGAATACGTAGTTGATAAAATATATTAGTTAGAATGAGTTATCATTATCTCATGTTGATCCTTATGAAAGAATGTGAACTAGATATTAGAAAGATAATTCATTTATAAAATTTAGTCAATCAGATATCATTATCATTTATTTTTATATTTAGAATAACAAAGTTGTATATATCAATTGTCAATGCTCCAATTATAATTGATGTTTCAGTTGAGTGTTCTAACATTGCCAGTGAGTCTCAAACATGAAATAAGTGTGATTATTCAATGATTCCAAAACTAAGAATCATTGAATAAGAAAATACAAGATATGCCAATTGAGGGTAAAAATCTCAAAATATTGTCAATTGAAGGTGAAAATTCCAAAATATTCATTTATCTAGATAGCAAGATGGACTAATTAAGGATCAAAATCCTAAAAGATTCATATGCCAATTAAGGATGAAAATCTTAAAAGATTCATAGGTAAGATAGGTCAATTTAGGATCAAAATCCTAAAAAATTCATTTGACATGATTAATATATATTAATTCGAGAAGAACTCAGATATGAAATTATTACAAAATTGAGAGATCTCAATTAATTATATTATGAGTGAAAAAATATGGAACAAAAGTTGAACTAATATTGATGATATTATTTTTCCTATAGTATAGTGTTAAATGTTATAAATGATGTTAAGGATAAAAAACCAAAGTTCATAAAAAATTGTTTACAAAGAAATTATTGAACACAATGAAAATATGAAATCAAAGAGAATTAGACTCTCTTGATAAGTCAACGAATTTTGGATTCATAGTCCATATATTTGAAGGTATTAAATCAAATGGATACAAACAACTTCTGTGAAAAAAGAAAAATGAAAATGATAAAATTATGAAATATAAAACCCAATTGATTATTTGAGTATTTTTCATCATACTTAATACTGATTTTGGAATGACATAGTTTGTCCAAATAATTTTAGATATTCATTAATCTATTTGCACATGAATTATTCATCTTGTATTACAATGGATGTTGTTACATTTTATTTGTATGGTTATTTTGAAAATGATATTTATATGAAAATTTTGAAGGATTTAATTTGACAAATGATACAAATTATAAAGAGAATTATTTAATCAATTTGAATAAGTTCATTCATGGATTTAAGAAATTAAGATGTGTTGTGGTATATAATTGTTTAAGTATTTTATTTTAAAATAAGGGAATAAAA